ACGTTTCGATACGTTCGTACCGTCGATCAATTATCGTTTATTAATACTGTCAGCATATGCTTCACCTATTCGTGTTTATTTCGTATTGGTTGACATTGGGATTGCCAAGTTTTCAATGAAAGGAAATATTTTTTGACGAGGAATGGTTTAAGGGAAATCGGCGAACTGAGCAATTAATGAAACAGCTTTAAAAAACCAAGCGTTATGCAGGTTTGTTTGTAGGTGGATCATATTCAGTCAATCCGCGTTAATGCCAAAAGTTGGGATGACAAGAAATGGACTGTATGCATGATGTGGCTCAAAAATAATGTTATCTAAGCGAACGATTATAGGTATATAAGCGGGGCTGAATAGTGAGCATTGATAGAACTAAAATTGAACAAAGGCATTGTTATCTGTAGAGCGTATAAAAGGAATAATTGCGGTTGGGTTTTTACCGTATGTCGTATAAGGTACATAAAAGAACGGTTGAACGAGGACATTCGATCTTTTGAGTTCTACATTATTGCGTTGATCTGAATCTCTAATAAAATTTTTAAGCTCTTCGGTAACAAATGTGCCTAAGGCAGCTGTAACCTGGGCCAATTCGTTTAATGCCACGTTGAATGGCCGCACCAATTTTTCTCTTGGTATAGCATTTTCAATAATCATTCTGTCGAAGCCAATGTCAATTTTCGATTAAAATTGACTCAAGTATTTTTCGCCTACTACATATAAAGTGAAAATAAAGCCAGAACGAAAATAATTACGTCGATGTGTGACATCATCTAAATTTTTAAGCGTACCATTTACTTTTGTCATATTCAATGTACACGGTCGACATATGTTATTTGCTTCTGAGTGCACTGATGGAATCACCTCCCGAATAATCGGTATCTTTACCATCACCAAAACGAAACACAGCCGAACCATTTGTTTTTTGTTATTCTTGTTTGTTTGTAAAGCAACAATATACGGACGAAATTTTTTTATTTATTTTTCGTTATTTTGACAGCTTTTCTTATAAATCTAAGATAATGTCGTATAAGTTTTTCCTTTTTCGTCATCAATTTCTGATTCATTGATGTTCATCAACTTTGTTCATCAACTATCGATCTCACAACGATTATTTCAATTAAGACTATACTCTTGTCGCTACACGTATTAATATTTTAGTCGAAAGATTTTTGAAAACATCATTTGCACTCAAATAGTTTATTATGTGGTTATTTTAGTTTACAATCGAACTTAAAGCATTATTTCTTCTATCTATAATAAGAAAATCAAAAATAATTTTGGAGTTCATCATGAGACTATCAAAAAACAAAACCTATAATTTTTTCTACTTCTACAAATATGTACATAAATCTACTGTATTCTCATGATATTGAAGCAGATGAAAAACAAAACAAACTCTAAGGTTCTTATACGAACTAAAAATCAAAATATCTCGCCTATATTTGGAAAAAGATATCGTACTCAATGGTAATTTCACCCCTATAAAAAGGTGTCATTGTTTTTACTCATTTGTGTATAAAATCTTTTTATATTCTATTTGACGTGTTCATCGTTCGCCATTTGCAAGAAGGCGAAATGACATGGTTTTCAATTTTTTTCATTTCCAAAATTAAAACGTCACTTTAGTATCCTCATACAGTATGAGTTAGATTTCAGTAACCGAGCTGCTAATCTTTACTGAACGGCTTTACAGATATAGTTCTTAGTTTTTCTTATTCAGCTGTTCATTCTCTATCTCTTTATGACAGGGCGATTGATAACTATTTCTTTAAATAGAAGTTATATTCATATTATCATAGTGCAATGTGTCATGATCGGGAAAACGGAGGAAAAGATCTTTTCAACGTTTTCTTCCCATTCTTCTTTATCAACCGCATTACTTTTGCAGTGTGAAACATGAGAGCTGAGTTGTTTCAGTAAATCATATTTACAGATTCTGAAACAAAATAAGAATTAAAAATACTGTTTTTGAGATACTTCGCAGACGCGATTGTTCTGAAGTCATCAAAAATCGACTCTTCATTTTGCCGAATATCAAAGCATAAATCTCATTTTAGAGAATTACAATGATCAAGTCTACATATTACAATATTTTTTCTTTTTTTTACATATTTCTGCATATAAAAGAAAGAAATGTAAAATATTATACTTCTGTTCTTTTTTTTCATATTTTCCATTCTTATAGTGTAAGGAATAAACAATTTTACAATTTTACTGCCCGTCTCGGTAAAAGGCAATATTTTGTTCGCCATCCAAAAAATAGAATATAGGCTCTGAAATTTTTTCTGATTAAGCAGTTGTACAGAGCATGACTTGAAGTTTACGAATATATGCTTAGATACTATCTATGTCGCTTATTGGGAGAGAACAAGGAGTTTCAAGTTGTCCCTAATCGTAGTTGATTACCTTAATGTACCACCTCTACCGCTCCAGGGTATAATGTTTGTTTTCGAAAAAATAACTATATCTCAGTAGTCACGAAGGATAGTTGAATAAACGCTGAAAGTTCCAGCGAATTTGAAGAACATTTTATATATGCGAGAGATTTCTGATGGAATCAACCATTACTAAGTCTAAACGTTGATCATTACGCTGTTTTTTTCGTTATATCTCGAAGTCTACATATAATAATTATAACTGATAAAATATATAAATATTTTGTTATCATTATGGAAATAGGATATTGAAGAAACATCAAATGTTTTTAGGATAAATACGCATGATTCTATAATAAAGCAATTGAGTGTCAATAAAATAATAGTTAAATGAGCGTATACTTTTGACTATTTATGATTACAAACGGTAAATTTATAACGGAAACGTAACGATTGCGTCCAAAAATACCAAATAAAAGCACCGATAAATAAGATTAGGGAATAAAAGACCACTACAGAATAAATAAAGTTACATGAAACCGATGATGCCTCAGATACACATATGTGATCAAATACTAAAAATGTAAAAAAATGACTGTGGCCAAACTGAAAGCATTACTTACAAGTATACGTAATATTTTCACGCTGACGTGCAAGAGTTATAAATGCACTCGGTAACCAGTCACCAAATACAATTATAAAAACGTGCACGATTAACATTAGAAAACTATAGCCGATAACATTAATGATTTCCTTCGGCCACGCTGTTTCCATTTTTAGGACAAAAATGACACATATATCTGAAACAGAATAAAGAAAATAGACTGCACTAGTTTTTCGTTTCTACAAAGGAGAGCTGCTCTTTAAGTCAGCTATACGGTTACCATACAATGAATATGTCTGAAATACTGTTGTTTACTGCTGCATGAAGATACTTAACTTAAGTTTCAATAGAAGACTCTGAGGACAAATGAAACTGGAACAACGTGAATGGAAATTAAAATATTTTGAGCGAACAAAAAATCAGATGTTTTTCTTTAGTTTCTACTAAGACTGTTTGTAATTCCTCACATTGTTTGAAAATACAACCGGAGTGGTGAATTAGGTGAGAATAACAAAATGTATTTGAATATTGTGGACGATGATCCAGATCTTCATATTCACACGGTTCTTGTTCAGTAGAATAATAACATAAATAACGAAAACCAAGGTAAATATCATCGTTTCGATCCAAGCTATTCACTCTCTTATACCTCAATGTTGCTATCCTCAGTTCCACTGGTCTTGTAGCCATCCAGATCTAAAGTATGCATATCATCAAGAGCAATAACCAGCTGAATTCAACACCTGGTTGTGAATGTGAATAGCCGACTTTGAACAGAATAAAGCACGAATTCACAAAATCTTTTTTTGAATTATTGAAGTGGTAGTTAACTATCTCATACGTTTGACATATACCCCATAATTAGCTCTTTTCTGTTCGCAACCATAATGGATGAGTAATAGTGAATATCTATCATGTCCATAAATCATATCGTAAAAAACGTATCAGCAGAACAAAAAAATAAAGTTGGTTTTGAGTTGCTGAAAAGTGCTTTTTCATATTCAGCACACTTGATGCCCCAGAAGATTTTCTATTTTTGACGAGGGGTACTTCCAAAAGTTTAGGAAAAATTTTCAAACAAAATGGCGCAAAACAATTTCCATGAGAAAATAATATTAGTTTGAAAAATTTTCCTAAACTTTTGGAAGTGCCTCTCGTCAAAAGTAGAAAATCTTTTGGATTATCGAGTGTACAGAATACGAAAAAGCACTTTTTGGCAACTCAAAACTAGCTCTATTTTTCTCCGATGATATGATAGTTAGCATTAAATCAACGTAACGGGAACTTTCTCAGTCCTAAGTATAATTGTTTATCACAAGTATCGAAATATAGTGTTGTTTATTTTCCTTCATTCGATTGCATTAAACCAGGCTCTTTCATTTCCTTCTCCGTTTGGTCGATATACACCAGAAGTTATTACAGCAGGTGAAAATCTTATTTGTTAAAGGGTCCTGCCGTGCAGGTCCGTCCACTATTACATTCACTATTAGCCGCGAAAATTCCACTTTGCCCGTCCTGTAGAGCATCAAAAATAACCTAAAGGTCTCGCTTACGCTTTTCTGAAAAAATGGGTGAAAAGTGGTTTTCTAGACACCTCAAGTTTTTGGTGAGGGTGAAACCGAACGGCTTGTCCACGTAACTCCGCTGGCAGAGATGTCATAGCGTTACCTTTTTTGCTCATTTTGTTTTGAGCATAGCTTCGTTATGAAACGTTTTAGAGAGCTCGGAAACATCTCAAATTGAAGAAAAAATTATTTTAAAGATTTTGTGATGCCTGGAAAATGTTTTCTTAAAAATCTACATGCAAAATGGTGAGGCCTACTTCTTACGAAAAAAAACAGAAATGTAGCTCTCCACATTTTCATCACAGTTTTTCGAAGGAACACTTTCCAGGAGGCGGACGAATCTCGAAATCTTTAAAACAATTTTTTTTCAATTTGAGATGTTCCCGAGCTAGTTACATGATTATATTTTTACTCAGTAAACGTATTTGGCATCAAGTGCTTTAAAATGTGGAAATATTTTTACGATCCCCCATAATACGTCAATGATACATCTGTCATAGATCGATCATTCGTTAACATATCTTCGTACGAAGTTTTTTGTGATGGTTGTCGTCTAGTTTTTCCACAATTTAATTTTTCCCAACTTAAAATTATTGATACTACTGCAATGACGATAAAAAGTCCACCTAATCCTGCTAAACCCCAGACAGCATTTTTTTGAAATTTACTTTGTGCTTGAAATGAACATGTTTGATTAATAGCACATTCACATTGATAACCACCCAATGTATTCACACACAACATTCCCGGTATTGTACATCGTTTTCTCATCGAGCATTCATCAATATCCACACATTGACCACTTAACACTTGAAAACCGTTATCACATTTACACACATAATTATAATCTAGTAATTCCACACAATGACTGTACATTGTGCAATAAGCCCATGTACATGGATTAACAGGGACACAGCTGTTTTGATACAGGAAAAAATCATCGATACACGGACACGTGTAAGAGCCCCATAAATTTATACACAAGGAATTTATTGGACAAGAATAATTCTGTGGATATTTACATTCATCGAGATCAAAACATCTAGAAGAGCAGCAAAAAAACAAAATAAATGCTACATCTTTAGTACTTCTTGGTCTTACCTATCAACAATTGGATAATGTACCGGTAATGTTATTGGATAAACTACATTTGTAATGTTATCAAAGAAACCCGGTAAACATTCACAATCATAATGTGGATCGGTATTGACACATCTCGACTTCGTTTTATTACAAAAATGAGTATCAGTTGCACATTCATCAATATCCACACATAAATTTTGTACATAAATTGATAATTCAGCTGTAGGATGTTTACATGAACAATTGTAACTACCCGGACCGACTATTAAACATGTTGTTCGATTACCCCAGGGATGCAAGAGGCTTTGTATTTCACATGGGTTTGGTGTACAATAATCAAACACGGTACAATTGACAAAGGGATTACCAATGTAGTACTGGGAACAAACACAAGTCCACGTCCCATTCAAATTTAGACAATCGGCATTAATACCACATGTATACGAGCCTAACGCGCACTCTAAAATATAATCAGTTCTAGTGCAAGGAGAAGTAGAATAAAATAGCGATAATCCATCACTTGTTCGAAGCCAAATAAGTAAGCTAATTACCATCTATGTCCTGTTCGCAGGTTCTTCCCTGCCATCCTGGTGCACTAAGAAAAGACAAAGAGAAACAAAATAAAAGTGTCTTGAGGTTAACAGATATTGCATCTACTGAACAAGAATTTGAATTTTCACAAGAAACGCTAACTGCTCAAACGGTAAGATGTCATAGGATTATTTACCATGTACATATAAAATTTCCCCAAAGGTTAAAGCATGTCGCGCCATTTTTACAGACGCTGGGTGTCGTGCATTCATCGACGTCAACATCACAATTTGGGCCTGTTGTTAATGGTGTACAATGGCACACAAAAATACCACCGCCTTGATCATAACAGGTACCTTTAAAAGCAAAAGACTAGAGTCATATAAATGTTGAGATTAAAATACATACCGTTATTTTGACAAGTCAAAGCACCGCCATTGCATACATCGATATGAGTATCACAAATCATTCCTCCCCATCCAGAACTAAAAGAACCGAAATTATTTAAGAAAACACCGTGATGAGACGAAGCCACTTACACGCAATGGCAGTGAAAACTTCCAATAGTATTTGAACAAGTACCACCTTAAAGCAATATTATGTTCATAACTCAACTAAATCACTCAATCCCTTGCTTACCATGCAGACATGTTTGGGATGGTAATGGTTGGCATTCATCCACATCATCGGTACAAACCGTTCCATTCCAATTTGTCGTACATAAACATCTGTGTGTCCCTGGTCCCGTTTGTAAACATGTCCCATTGTTTTCGCACTTTGATCCATCAGCACATACATTCAATAGACGATCGCAATTGTGACCGGTAAATCCCGGTGCACACTTACACATGTAGCCTGCATGAAGGTTCGCGCATATTCCACCGTTTTGGCAAGGACCAGGTAGTGACTGACATTCGTCGATGTCCGTTGAGCAATCAAGTCCCGTAAACTGTGGTGTACACAGACAAATAACAGGTAAGCCAGCACCTTGATTGAAACATGTTCCATTATTAAAGCAGCTTATACCATTTGAGCATGAACTACTGTAAAGGTCACAATTTTTTCCACTCCAGTTCACAGATGAACAATCACATTGATAACTACCATAAATATTTCTACATGTCGCTGAAAAGGAAGAAAAAAATTATAATTTACGTTAAACCAATCATTCCAATACCGTTATTCCGACATGGTGGGTTCGGAAGTAAACACTCATTCAAATCATACATACAAAAATTGCCACTTTGAAAATTTGGTGTACATACACAATCCGGACCTAAACTTGTATCTAAGCACGTGCCGGAGTTGTGACAAACTAACCCTTCTGCACATGAATCAATGTGACTGTCACAATTCTGCCCTGTCCACCTGAAAAACACCAATTGAAGGAGCTAAACAGTATGTTATAAAATCATATGAAGGTAGTTAAATATCTGACATACCCAGGTAAACAATCACATCTATATCCGAAAAATATGTCTTGGCATGTTCCACCGTTCTTGCATGGGTTAGTTATAGCACATTCATTTATTGAGTTTTCACAATCAGACCCAGTCAGAGTTGAGAGACAATGACACTGGTACGAAGCATTTCCCATATCGATACAGGTGCCTTTAATAGACAAAAGACTGTAGAGCCATACAAGTCAGACTCTTAAGGTAGAAAGTACCATTGTTTTGACAACTATTTGCAAGACAAGGACCAATACGATAGTTGCAGTTTTTATTTGTCCATCCTAGTTGACATGTACAATAATAGTGACCGTCAACATTCGTGCAGTTTCCAAAATTTTGACAAGGATTTATTGGTAAGCATTCATTAACATCTGTTTGGCATTTGGAACCGGTCCATGTCGACGGACATCGACACACAAAAAGGCCAACACCCGTACTATAACAACTACCATTGTGTTCACACGTCGTGTCATTACAACTACCAATAATGACGTGACAATTTTTATCTGTATATAGAGCAGGACAATTACAATGATAACCGCCACCAAAATTGACACACACTCCTCCATTTTGACCTACAATATCCACTTTATAGTGTGAATGACTAATAGTGTTACGTGATTCAATGGAAAACGCTAGTAGCAGCAATATATCAGTCACATAATAGTCACACACGAATAACCTACACGGATTTGTACCAAAGCTACATTCGTTTATATCTGTTTGACAATCAGTACCGGTCCAACCCGAGCGACACAGACACAAAAAAGTTCCAGCACCTGTGGAATGGCAAACACCTTCATTGTGACATTGTGTATTTAGTTGACACGCATTTATCATCAACTGACAATTTTTTCCTAAAGAGAAAATATATGAGATATTAAATAGTTAAAAAATAGAAAGAATTTTACCCGTAAATCCCATGGCACATGAACAAGAATAATCACCAAATGAGTTATGACAAGTTGCACCGTTAAGACAAGGATTGGCTGTTGTGCTAAATGTAATGACAGTAGCGTCATTTCATTGATTTGTGGAAAAACAAATTTACGTACATACTCACCACTCGTTAACGTCACTTTCACATAGTGTACCTTAAGAGACAGAAGATGATGAGAGAAGAAAGAAGGATACCTTGCCTTGCGACTACTATTACTGGTGGTTCTTCCTATAGTTGATAAGCTTCTGACCTACACTGTAAAAAAGAGGACTTCTTCAGAAAACTGAAACTGTTTTTCATTTGTCCCAAATAGGGATCTGATGTGAGTTTTCTGAAAATTTGGAAAACTGATGCTTTCATTTTCTGGAAGAACAGAAATTGAGTTTTTCATGTTTTCAGATCCCTATTTGGGACATTTGTTTTCCAGAAAATATCAGGTCGAAAAACACATTTCTATTCTTCGACTTTTTCAAAAATTTAATTCCTCTTTTCACCAGCCAACTTTTTTTAATCAATATCTATGTTCATATGTAGAATTATTCTTTTATTCAGTATAAATATGGTCAACTGGAAACCTGTACAAGTAGAGAAGACTATGTAACCCACATCCTAACTCCGCCGTCATTTGGACCCTCATTCGATCGGGGTCGAATCAGGTTTCAAACATCGTAGGTACTAGACTCATTTGGTTCGAGTCGAATTTTAGAACTCTATTGTCAAGAACAAATATGTTCTCGAAGTGTGCACATTGTTGTACACAAACAGAGCTTTTTGAGAACGAGTTTAAGCTTCTATAAGAAAAGATCATGTCCTTTATATACCTTAGAAATCGCAAAACAAAAGCAGTGATTGAAATATGTGATATTCTTTCCCTTTCATAACTTCGAGATCTTCGGAGAACTCAAAAGAAATATTGTGTTTTTCAAATCTCAAAAACAAAATTTCTGAAAAACTAAAATGAGCCGAAAAACTGAAATGAATGAAAAACTCACTTTTTATTAAAAAATAGAAATTAAGTTCTTCATATTTCAAAGAACTTAAATGAGATCTTCAACGCGCTCTTTGAAAACACAAAGAACGCGTTTTTTCTTAGAGTGTATCAACTACAGCTCTAGTTAGAAGGCTAGCCTTACTCAGAGTTCTTTCGTCGAACGTGCTTGAAAACACTACTTAGTATGGGAGTAATTGTCCTTAGCGATCAAATGAGTTTACCGGTCGTGGCTGGTAGACAATGACATTGTATCATTCCTCCTGGTTGGTTTAGACAAGTGGCATTATTGTAACATGTATAATTGTAGAAGCAAAGATTATGGATATAATGACAATGAGCACCCGTCCAACCGGGATTACAAGTACACTTAAGAAAACAACATAGTATCTCTTGTTAAATAGGTTTGTTAATCAAACGGTTACTTTATAAGAACCAGGCTCATTCTGGCATATTCCATGTGCACCATTACAATCGTGTAACGCTGATGTACCACACTCGTTCACATCAAGTTCACATCGAGTACTAAACCATCCTGGTTTACAAACACAGTAAAATATTAATGGTGAACCCATATCAATGCAGGTGACGGCGTTTATACACGGGGATGAACTACATGGTAAACCGGCTAGAAGACAAACACGATAGAATTGGTTCACATTTCTCTAAAAATTTGTATGCTGTTCGAGTACAAAAATATCAACAATTGACTAATATATGTTGTGCAGCGAATATAATTGGAACGTTACGAGCGATTAGTTCACTAGTTCTAATTCTTTAGTTATTCACATACGCATGTGCAATGGTACTGCAAAAAAGGCACTGAGCTTGAATATATGTGAACATTAATATAAAAGGAAAAATAAGAGAGGCTCACACAAAAAGAAGTTTTCACACGTACGTTCACCCGTTTTCACAGTTAAATGAGCAATCCACAACGCTTACATTTATTCATTCGACATGCGGAGATACTATCTAAGGTTGCTTTTAAAAGAATTAAGTAAGAATAAGGAAATAACTGTTCTAGGTAACTGATTCCAATCGACACAAGTACAAATAAAATTTAAAAAAAAATCGATTTTGGAGCTGTCTGAAAAACGTGTCTGAAAGACTGAAGACGAGCAGGCGAAAATTCAACAAGTATACCAGTTTGTAGAAAATTGTTTGCTCTGCAAGATGCCATAGCTTGTTAAGTTCGAAACTATTCTAATTAATCTGTATTAATCAAAAAAAATCAGAAAAACCGTAACGGTATGACACTTTTGACCGTTTTTTGTCACACCATTACGGTTTTTCTGATTTTTTTTGATTAATACAGATTAATTAGAATAGTTTCGAACTTAACAAGCTATGGCATCTTGCAGAGCAAACAATTTTCTACAAACTGGTATACTTG